AGATATTTTATTTTTTATATCAAAATATGTTAAATTAAGATATAAAATAACTCGAAAAGTACTTAATGAAAAAATACTTTATTACAGTGTTTCGAAAAGCTCTCGAGGTAAGCTACAAGAATATGCAATAAAAAGTGGGGCGTTCTATTTAAGAGAACATCGATTACATTGACCTTACCTTGAAAATGTCACTCAAGATCAAGTTCATATTTTCATCATGTGGCTTCAAAATCATGCAACTTTTGTCTGAAACATTTTTGTTTATCGGGCTCAGTTTTCGAGGTACTCGGTTCGACTGTTTAAAATGAGACACCCTGTATATATATATACATATGCGTGAGTGCGCGCGCGCGCGTGTGTATGTACGTTTACGTGTACGTGTATATATGAATATTTATTCGTTTGGGATTAGATTAAGTTAGTGGTTTTATAAGTGCGAGTGTATTCATGAAACACTTTGTATATATACGCGCGCGCGCACACACGCCCACACACACATACATACACACATAATTACATGCGCGGACACACAACATTCCCGAATACACGTGCATATGTACTCATTACACATAAAAAAAGGCATCAGGTTATCTGAAAGAAATATGGCAGACACTCAAATTCTATGATTTCAGAGCTCCATATTTCTCTATCCTTTGATTTTACGTGGTTCTGACAAAGGAAACATTTGTTCAGAATTAAAAAAACTACAACATATTTCAGACCGGAGCAATTTGACCGGGGCCACTTTTCCATGGGAATCGTGCGGGGTCCTTTGGTGTGAGTTACGATGTATAACCCAAACCAAATTTTTTCTTCGAATCAAACTTTAACTTTAAATATCTCAGAAATTATAAGAAACCGCCGATTAAGTTATAAGAAAAAGTTATTCAGGCTCATGTCCTTGACAACATATGTCAAAGTCAAGGACATTGGCGAGGTGTCCGTTAATGTAAATAATTAACGTGATTTCTTGTAATCAATATCATATTGAGCAAAGTTAGATTATATTACCAAAACTGAGCGAACGCTTTACACACAATACTTGAGTGAATTTGTGTATTATCAATTAATATATTTGTGATAAATTATCGGGTTAAATTTTTTTACATGGACAGATTATTA